AAAAATGTGGTTTTGAAATTCATTTTTCTTTTTCTTTTATGATTATTATTATTCAAATTTTAATATTTAAAACGTGTATATTTAAACGGATTTTCCTCTATGATTTATGTCGATCACTTGCTTTTTTTATTGTTTTTCCATAATCATTTCTTAGAAAAACAGGATAGGTTCCATAACAGGAAAATGTAGTATTATAAATCGACTAATGTTTATAAAAACACAGAGTACTACGCGCATTGACGTCACTTCCGAGTTTTCTAATATAAAGATTAGCAAATGAAAAAATATATATGAATAAAAATTCAAGCTGACTGAAAATACTATACTCACTGTTTTCTAAATCAAAATTGAAAATTAGACAAAAACTAAATACATACACTTACCTGCTCAAACCCATTTGGACATACGCCTCACAGATTTACGGTTCAGCAATGAAGATTCACTCACAAAGACTACAATCTTTTCAATCTAAAATTTTAAGACTAATAAGTACACCTCCCTGGTATTTCCATAATAAAACTTTACATACCCACCTAAGACAACCAACCATTGACCAGTACATACGTACTCTTTACTCTAATATCTAAAACTACAAGGACATCACAATGGACTTATCAACGACATGGCAACGGCTGAAATGCTCATCAGGAGGCGACTGAAAAGGAGCTGGATGGGAGATTTCCTTTCCTGATTTCAGGATATAAACAGACCAGGGAAGAGGTGCTGCTGGGTACTATTCTTCGTCAAGCCTATCATGCCATTTTCAACTTAACAACAAATCTGCTAATTTTCACTACCATGACAGATACGGATGAAGAATTGAAGACAAAAAAAAAAAAGGTTTTTATTTATTATCAATAAGTAACTCCTATAATTAAATACTCGTTGAGATTTCTATCAACCTAATAATCTGAACAATTCATTAACTAAATAAGGTTTTGGTTACTAATTAATTACAATATTAATCTCAGTGCTCATTCCATTCATGTATAAAATCCATCAATCGATTTAATCAGCGAAGGATGGCTAACGACATGATGGTTTCCAGCGGAGAGTTTGACACTCTTGAGATAAATTGAAAAAGAAACAACAACATTAAAACAAAAAAATATATATATATTAGGAAATACCTACTTACTAAATTATTGAATTTAAAAGCATAAATAAATATTTTTTTATATTTATTTATATAATATTTACAACTGTATACAAAAAATACATCTAGTAAATTCGCACATAGATATAATGACATGAAACACATAAGAAACTACTCTTGGTAGCACTCTAATAATATGTCTATCTTAGAAGATCACGTGGCCATCTTCTTTTCTGACGCCTCGGAGGGTTATCAGGAATTGAATAGGAAGCAAGGTTAGAAACAAGAGGGTTGGGATGGTTATGAAGTTTATTATGGAAGGACAGATATCTGGATTGGTCCAAATCTGATACATAAGGAACATTAAGGTCATTATGGATGATTTTATTTGTAACAAAGTAAGGAGCATTGAGGATTTTACGAAGGATTTTGGATTGTAAGGATGGGATATGAGAGGAAGTTTGGTGGAGCCCCATAGCTTATAAATAAATATAGATAGAGAGTATATCGAATATAAATATTTTATATCAATTGAGAAATAACGACACTGAGTTATAATAAGTTTAAGTGGTTCGACGGACTGCGAAAACTGATGGAACCGCTGAACTATCGGTGAATCAATCGATGAATTAGAAAAAACGAGCTGATTTTCACCGATGAGCTGAGTGCTGAGCTTAGGAGTTCCCAGTTTATTTGGTAAAGAAGTACAGTTTCTAGACCAATTATTACTAACTTGAGTATATATTTATTCACAACATAAATAATGTTTTTGTACATATTTTGCTATTGCTAACATAGGTACAGTCTTTCCATTCTGGTCGGGGGTCGATGAAATCCTCCCTTCCCCCCAAAAAAGTCTAGGAAGTTTATACAATATTATTTAGAATAGAATAGAATAGAATAGAAAAATAATTTTATTCTGGGACGAAGTCCCTTCAGAATAACAAAAAAGTACAGAAATTAAAATTTTACATCTGGCCAGATAAAAACAAACATAACAAATTAAGATAAAGATAGGTTATTAAATAAAAGAAAATAAAAAAATATTGGTTATACATACTATATACAAAATAAAATAAAAAAATCTATATAAAAAACTCTTGAAACCATACTAAGATACTTAAAACTATGTACAATGTTAAAATATAAATAAACCCTTTTAGAAAAAATAAAAAATACAGAAAAAAATAAATGTATATTCTTCTTAACAGTAAAATCTGTTTCTGTTGAAAAAAAAAAAGAAAAAGAAAAAAAGAAAGTGGAATCTATAATAAGTATTTGGGTTATGAGCTATATGTGAATATGGTCTTATAGATAATATGTAATTTTACATAAAAGATTAGCTGGTGCCTGACTGTTTTTGGGACAGGAATTGGAATAGGAGGGTTTTGAATGTAGATAAGGATGAAGAATGTCGAATTTTGATAGGAAGGGAATTCCAGAAACTAACAGAACGTGCAACAAAGGAGTTTTGGAATGAGGCAGATCTGTGAAAAGGAATGTAAAGGTCGGAAGGTCGAGATCTTGTGGAGAGGGAGTGGACTGAGGACTTGAATTGGAGAAGGTTGTAGGTGTAGGAAGGACGATGATTGTTGATGATATGATAGAGGAATGTACCTAGGAAATATTGTCTTCGAATGGAGGGGAAGAGCCACTCTAACTCAGTGTAGTGGTGAGAGACATATTTATAATAATTGTTATCGACCGAGAAAAAAAGAATTCTTCCATCTTATAATATATTACATTTATTTATTCCCATATTAGCACTTGTTCAGTGACCTAAATATTATTCACACGGGACTTGTATTATTTAATTATTCAGTTATGTTAATTCGAGACTAATTCTATTTGTGTATTCTCTTCGCAAAGACAAATCAATAAACAAATAGAAACTATTTGTCTTATTCACCTCTATTTTTTGATCTCGTTGACGTCATACTAAAGACGTCATTTTGAATTTAATTGTTAACAAAGCTACCGTTAAAATTGTCATGACCGGTTTATTTACGGGCGGATATCGACCAACGGGTCATTGCCCTAATTTGCTGCCAATTGTCGATGTATAAAACATCGACTTTTATCGATACAATCTCGTGAACGGCCATAGCAAATAATCAGCCCTTTCAAAGTAGATACCATCTCTCGTTTGTTAAAAAGCCAAATGATTAGTTTCGATAAAGGTTTTATTCGTTTTTCACATCGGTCATTTTTTTATTTTATTTATTTCACTTATTCATTGATCAGTGTGCTTTTTCTTTAATGCTTAGCCGTGAGTTTTTATATTTAACTTTATTTTATTTTCTAGTTTTATTAATAAAAATAATATATAATATTCAGTGTATTTTTTTCTTTATTTAGGAAAAATCAGTTGATCATTGATAAGATGGAGGAAAAGGCAGTGTTTCAATGAAGTCAATGAAGGCTTTACGAATTGAGAGTTGTCAGGGCATTACAAGAACAAAATAATTTTTAAAATATCATCAATAAATATATTTAATACCTATCTTATTATAGAATATGGTAATTGTTCGCAGTGTAGATCCCGTTTTGATGAACGAAGTATCAAACCATAAAGTATTACAGGGAGCAGTGATGAATCATAATAACATGCCCCAGAAGTTTTAGGAATAAAGTTATGAATTAGACGAAATTATATTTGCGAATAACTTAAAAAGTATATATTATTTTGTTGATTGTACCCTTGTTTATTTGAAATAGAATTGACTTACATGACTTTATATATAACTTACCTTCAAAACAAAAAAAAAGTCATCGAAATCTTTTATTAATGTGTAAATTAGTACCGCCCGAAGAGATCAGTTGTCAAGTATTGAGGAGAAACAGAGTTGAGATTTGGATTTCAAACATCGAAACACCCTTAAATACGAATTTTCAAAACAATAAAAAAAAAAAAAAAAAAAGAATGTGTGCTTTAGACCACACGATAGAATTGAAAACATCAACAAGGTGTGATTAGTAATATGAAATATAAATTATAAATAATAGCTCATTTTAAAGAGGATGAAATACTGAACATTTTCCTGTCTTACAGTATGCAGGTCCGAATAATAGTTTCTGAGATATTTTAATCCATAACTTCAATAAAACTCGTTATCATTTGATTTTTGACACTACTTTTTTTCTGTTCGCCTCCATAACACCACGTTGCTTTAAGATACAATTTTGAATAATGACACATTACAGAGAGTGTAAAATGCTGACAAATTTTCTCGCTTACAATATGTAGGTCCGGTTTTTATCAGATATTTTAATCCATATGTAAAAATCTTTTAGTTAGTCGACTCTAACTTTACCCAAGCGTTAATGCCGCACGAAATCTGACGTATAGAAGTTTTCATTTCCAAAAAAAAAAATGTTTTTACTCTAAATTTTTACTGTAATGTAAGTAGTAAGGGGACCACCTCTGACTTTGATTCCAAATTTGAAAATCGGTCCTGTATTCTCCGAGAAAAGCCGCAGACGAACAAAAAAAAAATGTTTATTCGATTTTCGAATTCTATATATCGTGAACCATAAAAACTCATGTTTTGGGAAAGAGCGAATTAATTTTTTTGGACGATTACAATCGTTCATTATTGAAAATATGGAGGATTATTAACGGTTCATTATAATATGTGAATATAAACGTATTAAACTACAAAAGTCTACTAACCTTACTTTGAATTTTTAAAATAATAAGAACGAACATTTCATTCATACATTAGTATTTATATTGTTTGTAATTGTGCTGTGAAGTTTCGTTGAATGAAGCTGGACATAGCGAAGTATGTTGCTACTTGATCCTGCTTGAGCATCGATAGCTATCTGTTTGCTCTGATAATTAGCAGAGCGATGTGATTCATAGAAGGCACGGCTGTTGTCCTGGGACGCTAACAATGCACAATTAACGTTCGTTGACACCTACCTCAATGGGGCTACCTCTGACCGAGGCCACAATAAGACCACCGTCACATTCCTCCACTTCTTCGTGGATGGGAAGCATTAGCGAGTCCATTGTTCTCAGGATAGCTAGCTGTACTGAATCATCAGGCTCAACAGGTGTGGCTACCAAAGTATGTAGAGGATGGCTTATGTAAGCTTTAGTTAATGATAAAAAAAAAAAAACTGTACCACCACGACCAAGGTATGGTCCTGGATTCACTACTATTCAGGGAAAGTACTGTTTCTTAGTCAACGGTTGTAAAAGGAGGAGATTTGACCGTGATCACGCTCCAGGTTGTTTCCCTTAACTAATTATAAGTCCCCCGAGTCCCATGGCAGATGAAACAGAATAAATGATTTTATTGTCATGAGCCGAGATTCGAACCTCGGACTCGAGCATTGGAAGTTCAGCAACCTGCCTGTCCCACTCACTCATAGTTAATAATAAGTTACAAAATTTTGAAAAACGATGGAAGGGATGATTCTATATATAACCGAATAGGAAACCATATTGTACGATAAAGTAACAATGAATTATTTTTTATATAAGAAACGATAATAATTTTATATTGTAAGGATTCGGTGGTGAAGTGGCACCCAAAATTTAATCCTGTATTCTCAACAGACTTGATTATAGGCATTTAGATAAAGCTTTAATAATAATTAGAAATATTCAGCATTTATCTCAATGGTTATATGAATGAATGGATATTATTTTTTATTATATTATATTATACACTCCCTGAGGATGTGTTATCCACTATAACTCATCAGTAATTGACTACGAATTTATGATGTCTTTTATCATTTATCTGTTTATTTACATAATTTTTTTTTTAGCTTTTTATTATCTTTTTGTCTATATTTATGGAATTACGTTGATATATGAATGTGCGATTTGGTCTTGTATTTCTAGCATTCGAATACTTTTTGTTTTTTTACAAAAATGTATGTGTTATAGTGATAATCGTTTAATGTGGTATTTTAGTGTATATGAAAAGGGAGGGGAAAAAAAAGTGATATGTTTCTATAATGATTAGTGTTGCCCAAATGCGAGACCGTCTTGGTCTTGCAAACTCTGTCTTGGTCTTGCGCAAGAGTCTCACAACTGTCTTCCAATTATTTATTAGCTTATTACTACAGAAATATTACTGTAATTTTTTAGATAGGAGAAACCTAACTAAGCCCGAATGAAAAATTAGAGGAGCTAAATGCTGAAGTATATTGGTTATAAAAATTATTAATATATAGTAACTAAGATTATCGAGTATTAATAACTATTTTGCCTTAATTTTTATTTAAAAAATCAATTTGTTTTACCTGTTCTAGTCTTGGTCTTGCAACAGTTATAATGAATTTATGAAGTTATAATGAATGAATAATGTAATGTAGGAGCTATGCCCATATGGATTGATCAGTACGCTGTGTAAAAGCTACTCTATTTAGTAGGGCATAAAATTTGCAACTGTATAAAATAAATAAGATAAATGTACCGATAATAGACACTTTGAAGGATATTTTTAATATTGATGTGAACCACAGGTTCAGTTCTTACGATGGATATTTGCAAATGGGTTAGATTTACAGCAAATTTAGTTTTTTACCGACTTTACTGTACCCCAAATTTCTAGTCCGTAGGTTCAGATGGGTTTTAGTATTGTCTTATAGACCAGTAATTTGCTTTCAGTAATTTTCCACATATCGTCTGTTAAGTTCCTGTCTTTTAAGTCTAGTATGTGGAATTTAATAATTAGTATCAATATCCAGGTGTATCATTTTTAGTACGAGCCACTGTATGTTCTAACACTTAGTTACGTGCCAGTTGTAGATCTATATTTAAAGTAAGAAGAAACACCGTTCTTTTTACAGTCTCATATATTTATGTTTAGGAACTTTCGGTTCTCTGCACCATATTGATCTTTACAATGCTCCTTCAATCCATTTTATGGACTTCATTCTTTGTATAAATTTTATCAATCATTATTGTAGGAGAGAGGACCCCTATTGTACTTTACTTCCCAGTTTACAGTCTTACTCTGTTAACAAAGTTTTTTTTGAAAATGTAGACACAAATATATAATGATTGATAAAATTTATACAAAGAACGAAATCCATAAAATGGATTGAAGGAGCATTGTAAAGATATATATGGTTTCTGAGAACCGAAAGCTGCTCAACATAAATATATGAGAGTGTAAACAGACACCCTTTTCTTAATTTCAGTATTATTGCGCAGTCTACCTATGTAAACGGATTTATTGCAATGTCAGTAAAATCGTATAACTCCTATTTAATTTAACGAGTAGTCAGTATAAGCATATTTTATGTCTTGAGATGGTAATGACCATGCATTTTGTATATCTAACTAACTGCATAGGTTCTATTCGACACCGTCCCTGATCGTAGCTGTACCTCGCAGTTAATGATGGCGATGTTCACATTCGAACTGTAATAGCTGCTATTATTATTATTATATTATATAAGAGATATTACACCAGAGGTCAGCCAACAGATGTCTCCAAGGCGTCTTGACATTTCGATACCTGGCTTTCTCTTCAGGTTGGACCGATACCTCTTCTCCTGATGTACTAAGTCATCGCCTGTAGTGAGGCGAGGTTCGCGGTACCTGCGCTTAGCGAATTTCGTAGTGTTATCTAATACCTGTGCTAAGTCACTATAATCCTTCATTGTGTGATGTAATTCATCTGCCGGGAGTAGATATTTATATCTCTATCTTTTACTTGTATATTTTTATTTATATGTAATTCTAAGATTACAGGGTATTATCGTCTCTAAAAGGTACAAGACTTTATATATAGTCCGTGGTACATAACCCTTTTTATCCATATTGTTAACATCCGCCCGAAACTTTACTAATAGATTCATCTCATCGTAACCAACAACTATTTTATTTACGAAAACTCTTGGAATCGAAGCGTTTTCAATCTGGATGTCGGCAAATTGCGTCTATTTAATTAGTTAAATATTCGTAAATACCCATTTCCTTTCCAAATTGATCGTAAGATAATTTGATCACAAAATCGACAAAAAAAAGGTGGCCTTCAAAAATATGGAGCCGTTTGGTGTGACCTACACCCCCAAATTGTCAAAATGATGAGGTTATATAGGCTAAACGGCCCAATATTTTTGTTGGCCTCCTTTTTTTATAGATTTTGTGATCATATCTTACGATCCAAGTGGAAAGCAAATGGATATTCCCGAGCTTTTTGTACCTAATTAAATAGACATAGTTTACCGACCCCCAGATTGAAAACGTCCCATTTCCAAGAGTTTTCGTAAATAAAATAGTTGTAGGTTACGATGAGATGAAGCTATTTACGAAGTTTCAGGCGGGTGTTCAGGGGTCTGTACTACGGACTAATAGTCCAAGAGTGGGAGTAGTATATACGTAAAAATTTCATAATTTGCAGTTGATCTCGCTCCCCTTCTCTCTCGAAAATTGCTATTGTATGAACTTGGTGTACATATCAACAATCGTGTACAATAAAGCAAAAATAGTATTTAAAAAAAAATCGAAAATATAAGTAAAATTATGTTTGATTAATTATTTGGATTCATAAACTGTAAAAGTATTAAAATACTGTACTGCTTAAGTTTAATGTATTTTGTATGGTAACACTTTTTTGTCATCAAGGAGCTTGAAACCACTTAATAATGTCTGGTTGAGATGGTAATTTTTCTTATAGGCATTTATATTGTATATGGGATACGCGATACTATAGTTTAGTCCCTTAATAATTTTCATAAGTCGACGCCTATGTTCATAAAGGCATTATTGTTTGTTTACTTATTTTTTAATAGTCGTTTAAGAATAACTTAATCATAATTTTATATAGTTTCTTTCTTTTTTTGACTGAGAGAATCATATAAATATAGAAAATTTCGGTATCCTGGAACTATGAAAGTCAAGGAATACTAGATTTTCGCCTAACTCTTTCATAAATTTAGGGAATTTTCTGTTAATTTATTTCTGGCAAGCAATAAAAAATTAATAAATGAAATTCAAATATTTGTAAATAAATTGAATATAAATAATAATTATGTATTTTTTTTATAATTTCGTTTTTCCAGAATCTCAATATAAACATTAAGTGCTAATCCAATTATCTGTTCTCAGAATTTATAATTAATTTTTCCCCACTTCCTTTTACCGAATTTTAGAAAATTTTCACAATCGTTCCCTTAATATTGTATATATTTTGTGTACAGATAAGTGAAATTAATAGTAGGTAGAACTGCTTCAGGAAGCTGTCTGTATCTGTTTCAGAAAATTTTATCGTATCTGTTTCAAGGAAATTTTTCTGTATCTGTCGCAGAAAACTGTTTAAAATTGAAGTGAATCATTTAGTGTTTCCTGTTTTTTTTTTTTACTAACTTTTCCTCGGAGATGTCTTCCCGTTTATCTTTTCAGTTTCGAGTAAAACTGGTAATAGTATCTGTTTTATGAAAAAAAAAAAAAAAAACTAATTCAAATAAACGGATTTCTACTAAATACACCAACACTAACAAGAAAACCTGCTCTGTATCAACAATACTACCGCAAAGAAAACTGATCCCATTTAAAAAAGACTTATATTGCTGAACTTGTACTGTGAATGCTCGAACGCTGCTTTAATGTCAAGGTTTACAGCAAATATCTGTACTTTCAATATAAGTATGATATAAATAACAATGTATTTGTATGTACCTCGTTTAGAAACTAAATTATATTTAAGTAAGAAAATACAACACCCTTCCTTTTACAATCCTATTTATTTTATCTTTTGGAGCTTTCGGTGTTATTACACATAAACATTAAAATTGTTGATTATCAACTAGCACTTTGCCTTATTTCTACATACCTTTCGAACGCTCGTTTCATCCGTTTTTGGATTTAGTTATTTAAATAAATTTTTCAATCATTGCAGATTGGTATCTTTATGTTAAAAAACATTATTTTTTTAAAGATTAAAACACCAATCAGTAATGATTGAAAAAAAAAATCAAAGAATGAAATCCAAAACTGATGAAACCGTTGGAAAGGTATGTTAGAATGGCGACCGAACTGGAAAACCTCGAAGTAATAAAGAATCTAAATTATATATAAAATAAAATTATTAAAAGTTTATTTCTGAAAATAAATCGCTGTAAATTATTACACAATGGCTTATTATTTCTAAACAATTTAATAACAGAATTAGGATTACTTTCCATGTAACATTAAGGAAAATAAATAAAAAGGGATTCCTAACGTTGGCATATATATATTTTATCATTGATAATTTTCTTAAAAAATAAACAACGTTACTATAGTTTATGTAAAACTTTAAAAAAAATCAAAAACCAAACAAAGGATATAAGGATTGCAAAAGAACATATTCAGAACACCATATCTTTGCTCCCAATTGTCCGATATCAACGATTTCTTTTTTTTGTTATTTAGGTAATTCAAATACCTTTGAAGTACCTATTTATAACAATTTCAAAACGACTGTATACTTCTTGAGTTATTCTTTTCGTTGTATAGATTTATTATAAGTATAGACGTTAAAAATAAGTATAGATGTTATACAGATAAATTTAAAGGTCATATAGGAGAAAACTTTAGTTTCATCGAAATTGGTACATACTATTCGGACATAATATTCAACATTGAAATTCAAAAAACTACAATAGACAAATAAAACACAACAAACAGCCATAATAAGAAATAAGAAGACAAGTACAAAGTACAGTAATGATATTGAAGATAGCCAGATGTAGGTTAGTGTAACAATGAATAAAAAGAGGATGTGTAACACCAAATAAATATATAATGAACGTGACAAATATTTAAATTTTTGACAAATGGTGGCACATCAAAAAAAGCAAGGTAAATAATTGTACAATAGGTGAAGTAGTTGGTACTGTACTGTAAAATAGTTTATTTCAAAAAGTGCATAGTTTCAGTGAATATAAAGATTGCTCTGATGATGGGAAAATTGTCCCAAAACGTTAGAGGTGATAAATGTGAATAAAGGAATTTGGAAGTTTTTTTTGCCATTATTATATAAATTTAAAGGACATCGAGAAGAAGATTTTAGTGGTTTCATTGAAATCAGTACATTCGTTTAGACACTACAGTCCATAGCAACGCAGGATTTTCTGTCGCCATCTTGAAAGGAAAAGGCGAATAGGAATGTCGATGAAGGAGGATCATCCTCGGGTAACCTCTAATTTTAAACCCAAATTTGAAAAATGATCGGTCCTGTAGTTTCGGAGAAAAGCAGAGGACGGCCTCTGATAAATGATAAATACAACAATAAAATATGAAATAAGTAACATGACATGTACAACATAAAGAGAAACTAAACGAAAAAAAAATGTATTTGTTTTTTGAATTCTACGTACCTTGAAACGTAAAATCTCAAATTTTGAAATGGTAATTTTTTTTATATTTTATTACGATTACTGTGTTTTCTTATTAAAAATAATAAACCAAAAATACCTCGTCTAAAACATTATATTTGTTACAAAAAAAAATATATATATATATATATATTTTTTTTACTCACTTCATTTTCACTGGTCAATTTCCTTTCATGTATAATAAATAAATTTATTTATAAAATATATATTTTTAATATTTGTGTATTCAGACGTATTGGTCAGAGAAAACTATCATTAAATAGAGAAATATCGGCAAATTTTATTGTAACTGGTAGCCACCCTGTATGTAGAAATAAGGCAAAGCATTGAATTAGCATTCCTTGAATCATCAAAGTCCTTTGCAATTTTAATGTATAGATGTATAATAGTCCGTGGTATATACCCCTTTTTATCGAATTATTATCATCTGCCTGACATTTCGTAAATAGCTTCATCTCATTATAACCTACACCTATTTTGTTCACGAAAACTCTTGCAATTGGAGCGTTTTCAAACTGGTGGGGGACAAACTTTGTTTCTTTAATTAGGTACTAAAAACTGGTAAAAATACATTTGCTTTCTACTTGGATCGTGAGATAATTTGATCTCAAAGTACATAAAAAAGGTGGCTTACAAAAATATTGGACCATTTGTCCTATATAACCTCGTTATTTTGAAAATTTGGGGTGTAGGTCACGCCAAACGGCTCAATATTTTTGAAGGCCACCTTTTTTCTCGATTTTGTGATCAAATTATCTTACGATCAAGTAGAAAGCAAATGTGTATTTACGAGTTTTTAGTACCTAATTAAATAGACAAAGTTTGCCCCCTCCAGATTGAAAACGCTCCAATTCCAAGAGTTTTCGTAAATAAAATAGTTGTAGGTTACGATGAGATGAAACTATTTATGAAGTTTCAGGTGGATGTTAATAATTCGATACAAAAGGACTATGTGTATTAATTTTAGATATATAATATATATAGTGTAGAGCAAAGAGACCTCCAAAAGATAAAGTAAATAAGACTGTAAAATTATTTATTTTCTTCTGAAATGTAGAAATTGATTATATCACATTAATTAATTTTAGGCTGTGTAAATTGTTTCAAGGTTGTAATAACAGTTTAAAATAACTAACAATTGTTTTTAATTTTCCTTAAACTTGGAATCCTCATACCAGACTGAAACGACAAGAAACCGCTCGACTTTTCCAATTACTCCAGCACTTATAAGACAAACGCTATAAACTTCCAATTCATTACATAAGACTCATATACTTGAC